GCGTGATTCCAAATCAAAGGGCGTATGCCATATAGGGAAGCTAGAGGGAGCGTTTGAGGTCTCGCACTGTCCATTTTTATTACCACGTTCATCCGGGGTGTAGCGCTCGCACAGGGTCCACTCGGCGTGTAGCGCCCGTACAGCGTCCACTCGGCGTGTAGCGCCCGTACAGCGTCCACTCGGCGTGTAGCGCTCACACGGTGATTCAACGCAAGCAGCCCTCAATCATCTTGACTTTGGGTCCTGAAGTGGCATAATGCTAAATGTGCTTGTCCAGGTGAGAGGGCACCTTACCTGCTGTATTCGGATGCCCAAATAAAATGCATTAACCCCCGCCTGAAGCAGGGGGGGGGGGGGGGCATGATGCGACCCTTAAGCTTGTTAACAATAGTTTTTCAGCATGCTTTAAAATCGCGCCCGAATTTTCAGCCGATGGGGCATCCATTCCCCGTGCTTTGACACCAGAAACGTGCTCCGAGCTTCTCTGGCTACGGAGTGGATCGGGGCACTCTGCGCTGCCGCCGAGCCGACCTCCCAGTCAGGTGGAGCACCGCCGCCAGTGGTCCCCCGTCGCGCCGATCAGGCCAGACGGCGGCAGCTGGCGTCGGAATGCCACCCAACCTCAGACGCTTTGTTTTCCGGTAAAAATTGCGGTCTAAATGTTGCGCGTCGCCAGGGGTGCCAGGGGTGCCATTGTCGGTGGATGGGAATGGCGAAGGGGAGGGGGTGTCAGTGTTGGCGTCAGCAGCCTGTCGGCACATGTATCCCGAGATGGTTGGCAATAAAGCGCGAGCGTAAGTGAGCCGGGAGCCGGCCTGATCTGATACCAGGTCCGGCGCCAGCTGACGCCGTGCGACGGGAGGACATGCCTGCTGGGCGGCGCTGCCCGCCAGCCAGGGCAGCTTCGGCCTGCTGGACCGTCTGCCCGCCAGCCAGGGCAGCTTCGGCCTGCTGGACCGTCTGCCCGCCAGCCAGGGCAGCTTCGGCCTGCTGGGCGACGGTACCCGCCGGCCGGGGCAGCCTTGGCTCGGCTCGGCCGACACGTGTGCCTTCACAGCCCAGCGCCGGCGCTCGGCAGACGGGCCAACGGCTCCCCGGGCTCGAATTATCGGACGTCCGGCCGGCCGCTCATATCCATCGAATGACAACGGCTTGTAGAATGCCTCCCGGCGGACCTACTAGACACGGACCTACTAGACACGGCCCGGTCCCGCCTGTTCCGCTTGTACCACTGGCCACGGCCCGCTCTGCCGCTTCTGGCTGCGATCAAAGGCCGCTGCATCTCGAATGCTTTACGGTGTTCTGTCCAATTTTGAACGGGCGTTTGCTGAATTCCAAATTTTTGTGCACATTCTATAACTGTTCTACATCGCCCCAATTTCTAAAACTGCTGTGTGAACTACATAGTGCCGTGGTGTTTACGCGTCGAGCTAAGCTAGTGAGAAAACACGTCAGAATTCCGGCCGCCTGGCATGGCCCTGGTGAGGCCAGGCCCAGTTGAACCAGTCCTGAACTAATGAGGGCTGGTGTCGGCGACGGGCGAGGCCGGACGGCGTGAGCTAGTCGGCTGGGCCGCCACGGGCGCCAGGAATGTCGCCCAGCTGAGGGCGTGCGACGCAGCCACGTGCTGGTCAGTGGGCCGCGCCGGTCCTACCCAGCGGCGTCAACCGCGGTCCGCGCCTTGTTACGGCAACAGAGGGTCAAACGTCCATTCATATTTCAGCGTTCGGACAGCGCCGCGCGGTGGGACGCCGCCCGCGGCCAGCCGCCAGCCCCGGCCCCTCCACCGCATGTGGCGATGGCGATTTTATGATTTGCAACAATGCCCCGGTGCGAGGAGGGGGTCCTGTAATGCGGAACCCCCCGCTGGACGGCCCGGTCGGTGATGCAACGGGGCGGCGCGGGTCGACCGGCGGATCCTCCGATTCCAGCGATGCGACTGACGCCGGCCCGCCGGCGGCCTGAGCGGCGGCGCGCCTCGCGGACGACCACGCGACACGAATCGGGCCGGCGTGATTTATTAGGGTCTCGGGGAAAAGTCCTGACTGACAAACAAAAATGGGAATAATCACCAGAAAATTCTCCGGTCATCTGAAAGAAGCCGAAGTATCAATCACATGTGTTTCATTGTCCTTACCGTGCCCACAAAATGGTTTCGACTTGCGGGTGATCGCGCTTGGGATCTCTGGGAAAACTGAACGCTAGCTGGCAGGGGTATCCACCTGCGCTGTGAGGTCCAGCGTTTCCACTGCCCTGCAAATGCAGCGTGCTGTGAAGGTGAAGCACGGTATCCGCTCTCTGCGCAGTTCGCACTCATTCATGGGCCATGTTTTCATATGCATGCAACATGGGCTAAGTGGCGAAGGCTTGGCTGGGTCGTTGGCCTTGATAAGGAATTACCTGGAAAACTATCTGAATGATAAACTTTATGACTTTGCCCGGCGGTAATGGGATGGATGTGCTGTTAGGATCATACTTCAAAGCCCGAACACAATTTCACTCGACTTTTAAGCACCTATCAGCAGTGGAGGAAATAAAGCGCGGCGATATGCCGCCGGCCGGCGCGGCCGGCCGTGGCTGGCCGGAGCTGGGCAGGGCTGTGATTTGTCGGGCAACGCCGGGCGGCCCAGGCTGCCGGCCAACTGCCCGCTGTTGATGAGGCCTCTGCTCTGTCATCACCGGGGGGTAGGCAGGACCGTGCAGCAGGCCAACACGGCGCGCTGGCCGGCCGCAGCCGTGCGCATCCCTCTCCCAGTGAACCAGCTACCTTCACAACTGACAGGGCGCCTTCGATATCTTATCGAAGAGCATTAGTGATAGCGCCTCTGTGCACTTACCGAGGCTACCGATAATACTTACCCCGCTATCTTCAGCACAAAGAGACCCTCCACTCAAACTGGCGTCCTGCAGTCGCCCCAGGAACAAAGAGATGCATCTGGGCCACCTGCAATCATGCAGCATGTTTTCTTATGCAAAAACGACGCCGTGGAAGGAGAGTCAATCATTGGGATTCCTCTCACTTGCTGCCAGCCGGCGCAGGTAACTGACAGCCCGCTTCTGGCGCGGATGCATGGCACGTGAGAACATGCTCTGTATGTGCGTACATATGCGTGGTGTGTGTGTGTGTGTGTGTGTGTGTGTGTGTGTGTGTGTAGGTGTGTGTGTGTGTGTGTGTGTGTGTGTGTGTGCGTGTGTGTGTGTGGTGTGTGTGTGTGTGTGTGTGTGTGGTGTGTGTGGTGTTGTGGTGTGTGTGTGTGTGTGTGTGTGGTGTGTGTGTTGTGTGTGTGTATGTGTGTGTGTGTGTCGACAGCGGCGCGGCAACCGCTCACAGCGCGGCTAGAGCAGCGGGCAGTCGGCGAACAACGCCACAACTGGCGCCCTCTCCATAATTTGATGGCCTAATATTTTCTGTCGGCGAGCCTGTTCGTTACGACACAACGCATCAAGAACACCATAAATGGTAGAGACTGCTCATTATATAACTTTACCCTACTTGCAAACGGTAACTCATCGCCTCGCCGCGCACTGAGATTGCAAACGCGTAAATGTCGCTGTAAATAACTGACGAAGATTCCGATTACCGGTCGGCTGATCTGCGACTTGCTCGGCGCAGATCAGCAGCGCGCGGTTCCGCCTGACGAGCTCTGCGTGTCTGCGCGCAGACGATCACGGCGCAGCCGGCGCGCTCACCGCTGCACAGAGTGACCCGACTCGGCACGCCAAATTTAATCTGCGATAGCCTTCACTTGAATGGTTTATGTAATGGCGCCCGTTTGATTTAGCATTGTTGTTCAATATCGGCCCGGCGGCAGCGTATCACGAGGCGGACCTAAATCTGCGACGGCTAACGCGGCCGTGAATGCGGTTGCCGCGGCGCGGCAGCGCCAATCGCAGCTTCTCACAGCTAGAGCCAGTAAATTAATTAGCGGCGATGCTGGCCATACCCATACATAGGCCCCGCGCCGGCATCAACAGGCCGACGTGGTCACGACGGACCGTCACGCGCGCGACGGCCGACGGCCCCAGAGCCGAACTCGGTCCGGCCGCCGGCGAGCACGTGCGACAAGTCGAGTCGGGTCCGTGCAGCGCGGGATTCGGATGCTGCGCTGGGACGCAAGGTCAGCTGACGGCGTCGCCGCGCGGCGGCCGGGCCGGCGCGGGCGGGCGCCGGGGACGCCGCTGAGCGCGTCTCCGATCAGACCAGTTTCCAGGCGTCCCAGCTCCACCTGCCACCCGACCCCAGGCAGAACCTGTTTCCTGGAGTGGACTCCGATACGTCCATCGCCATGTGCGTTCTTATTATTCAATTAGCCAATCAAATTTGACTGTAGGCGCGGTCGGCTGTCGTAATCAGCTGAGCGCGGCGGCAGTTTCGGCCGCCGCAGCACGGAGGAGGGAGCGCGCTGTGAGCGCTCCGCGAGGCGGCGCGCGATTCTTCTCTCGCTGGTGATTTGTGCGGTAAATACTGCTGTCAGTGGACTGCAAGCATGTTTCCCTAGCCAGAGGAGCACTTTCAAGGTTTTGAAGATATGGATTTAGCCCAGCAGATTGGTTGCAAGTAAGGTCTCTCCACCGTACCACGTACGACGCATGCCTCAACGTATCTCGATGTTGCATTCGTTCATACGGCTGCATCGCTGCAGCCGCGCAGTTTCCTGTGTCGGTGATAACCAAGGCATGCTTACCCAGGTGTTATGTTTTTAGACATGGATGCGTTCGTCTTTTGACAGTGAATGCCGGCAAAAAATGTTTTCCTGATGGTCGTAGCAATAGTTTCGAAGCTCGCATGCATTCGCGTTCTCCGGATATGGAGCCGGTGAGCGCTCTAGTAAGCACGTGCTGGCCTGATTTGGCCCGTGAAGAGGCGCCTCCTGTCGCTGCCGTGCCTGCGCCGGGCGGCGGCGGCGTCAGGGTGGCGAACACGTCCAGTCACCGGCTTTGTTTACCTTCCTCTCGGTTTTGTTTGATTTGCGCTGAGTTTTGGCTTATTTGATTTACAGAAAGCCGACCGTGGAGGAGCTGGCCGTCGCCCAGGGAGGCGTCAACTCACGGTAAGACCGACTCGCGGCGGCCGAGGTCGCCAGCTCGGCACACATGCGCGCAGCCGGGGCACGCGCTCACCGGCTCAGTGGCCGGCTCCGACCATCGGCGGGGACGGAGCACCAGGGCCCGGCCACCAGTGGTACGGCTGAGTCTGCTCAAAATACGCGCAATCGTACCAATGGGGATGATATTTTCTAGTTAGAGCAAGGGTGAATGCTCGAATTTATTATGTGCTCGGAAGCAAGTGTATTTATTATGCGCAAGCGGTGATCTGTTTCTGATGAGCAGCCTCTGGGGCTGCATGATCGTCGCGGTTTTGCAAAGCCGTCGGACAGACCAAACTTCTCACGCGGTGTGCTCGCGATCGTACCGCGGCCTCCGCCCTCCCCAGGCCGTGTCGAGACGGGTCACTAAAACATCTGTTTACGCCATTACTCTAATTGCGAGTGTCAAAAGCCACTTGACACCGTTTGGTCGGCTCAATTGACGCCCACTGCAGGCGTCTGCAGCCGCCGCGCTGCACGGCGGCGGCGGCGGCGGCGGCCAGTGCAGAGGCGGACGGCGCCGCCGGCGCGGCACGCAAACAATCGGTGAAAATTGGCGAGGAATCCATCCGATTCAGCGGCGAGAAAGGCTGGCGCGCCGCCGGCGTCAGAGGCAGCCACAACGGGGCGCGAATATCCTTGAACCCGGTGCAAACAGGCGGCGTCAGCGGCTCCGGCGCCGGCGGTCAGCTCCGCGCGGCGCGGCCTGTGCCGGCCCGTCCGGCCGCCCGCTGCAGCTGCCCACAATCTGGCCAGACCAGGTCCGACCATGGTCCGACCATCCGCCGAGACCAGGCTCGGCTGCGGTCCAGGCGACTGGTGCCGTAGACGGCCACTGCTTCGGATGCGGACGAGAGGCAGCCGCTAAGAGTTGCTCTTAGTTCCGACCCGTGGTGAAGATGACCGACTCGCATGCTCCAGTGGGCGTCTTCATTCTGAATGTAGGAGGCTGCTGTGGATTGTTCAAAATCATAAGACCTTGTCATAAATGTAGTTAATTACATCAACCCTCAATGAGGAGACTTCGTGCGGTTGGTATAATCTTTTCAAAGGCGCTCGCGGCGTTTAAGTGCAAATATGCATGCCCCAGAATCCATGGGTTTCTCCTGTAGCTCCTCTGTGCTGCGGTTTTATCCCGGAACATTGCGTGATTTAAGACCCACCCTGGGGTCGGTGCGTGAAACAATTATCAGAAAACCCACGTTACGTCCGAGGTAATTTTGCCGGCGCGCTGCCGCCGGTGCTGGTTACACCACCAGTAATAACAGGTCGTTGCACGAGTCTCAATGGTCCGCTGCCGGCCGTCCGGCCGACAAGAGCACACTCTTGAATGACGCGCACATGACTGGCCGCTCGTGGACGCCGTCCCGCGCCGGTCCAATGTCGGCCGCCCCAGCCCGCCGGGGCCGGGGCCGGGCCGGGGCCGCTCCCGTCCAGAGTCCCTGGAATCGTGAGGGGGAATCAGCCGCCGCAGAGTGGAGTTAGCGGCTTCCAGTCACCGCCGACGGCGAGCGCGGCCGTACCTGGAGTTTACCGGCTGGGCAGACGAACGACTACCCGCGGTCGGATACGCCTGGAAGGCAAAGTCCGATCAGCAAAGGACAACGTGACAGTGGTTGCGAAGTCCTGTATGATCTCCATAGATTCCCTGCAAATTAGAGGGAATGCTCTGCATTTGAAGATATGCGAGAAAGCGTCAGATGTGATTAAATGAGCTCACTTATAGCTATAACTTTTAAACTGCTCTAGACAACAAAATTTCTCTGTTTGGTAAATATGCTCCTCAATATGTCATCGTTTGGTTACGTCATCGTACCTTGCACAACAATGATTGAGAGCTAATTAACGGCCGTAACGTCTGGAAATCGTGCTCACGAACGCCACATATGAACAACTCAACAATTATATTTTATTGGCCTCGATCGCCGTATAGCTAATGGAATGGCAGAATTTGAAGGACGTTATCATAACGTCATGAATGCCTTGGTGACCTTGAAATAGTTTCCCCGAAAAAGTATGCACATATTCGTTGGCGTTTAACTCAGTAACTAGAGGGGTTCAGGTCATAAGAAGGGCAGGGCTGTGAACTGCACCGAATAATGTTCAAGATAGTTATTTCATTTCAAAACCCCACACAAATTTGGAACACTCCCTTGAATTCCATCTCGCGTACTGTAGGACACTTTTGAACGGTACGAGATCCATTAAAGCTGAGTTTATGAGGAAACGATTCAGCCTGGCCGCTCCCTAAGAAAGGATGAGCCATGGCGTCAAATACACGAGGCCGCTGCTGATTTCAAACGCATCTGCAAAGTACGCATGCGCACAACGCTGCGTGCCACTACGCCAGACTGTGTGCCGGTCTGTCTGCCGGTCTGTCCGTCTGGGCGGCGGGTTTCTGCCTCTGCAGCGGGGCGGGGGCGGCCTTTTTGTGGCCCGTTTTTCGGGACCGGCCGGAGGGACCGGCGGCGGCCCGGCCGATCCGCGCCTGATTCGCCGCGCTCTTAATTACGCCATTCTTTTGGTGCGCGTCTATCCGGCGACAATCGTCGCCGCGCCGCCGGCCACAAGAGTAATACCGGCGATCAAGTGCCGCCCGGCCGAAAGAGTGATATCCCGTGTCCGTCCCCGCCCCGGCTGTCGCACTGGTAAGCCCCGCTGACAGCCAGCCGGCAAACCGGCCGCCGTGAACGGGCGGGCCTGGCCGACCTAGGGGCCAGCGCTGTTGAGGTGGCACCAGCTAGGGCGACGGGCGGCCCAAGGACAGGCAGCAGGCAGGCTGCGAAGGACCACCCGACCAGCGCTGTTGGGGTGGCACCAGCTAGGGCGACAGGCGGCCCAAGGACAGGCAAGAGGCAGGCTGAGAACGACCACCCGAGAGGAGACTAGAGACGGCACGAATGCCACGACGTGACGTTGATGTCTGTGGGAACGGGAACCATTCGCGACTGAAGAAGGCATGCGACGAAGACCGCTGATAGCTGAAATGCATTAAATGTTAACTGGTGAGGGACATTAGCGGTTGGGTTTTCGGAATATTTGACCAAATGATCAGATTTGCAGTCCGGAACCGATGCCAGTCACAGCGCGCGCGGAGGGGATGTGTTTGACGCCTAGCAAAAGACACCTTTCGTGTACCTACGTGGCGGGAAACGAGATGTGCAAAAAAACAAGTCGCATAGCTCGAACAACAACAAATATAGCATCTCCACTCGCAGGGAGCTGCCGGTTGACGCCGGCACCGGAGGCTTAGAGAAAGCAATGTGTTCCCGCCGGCTCCCCAACGTAAAGAGGCAACACCGCAGGCGCCCGCTCCCCAACGTAAAGAGGTAACACCACAGGCGCCTGTGCGGGTGCCACCCGTGGCGTAGCGCTGGATGGTGGGTCGATGGTATAAAGTAGACATTAGCTAACATCCGTATGATTTTTAACCGAATTTAGCTTACACTTTCTGTGCTGCTTAGCAAGGAGGCGTGGATGAGTCACCCTGAATTTAATGCAAACGACTGGTTCAACCTTCGTGACGTTTCACACCGGTGTCGCTCACAGTGCGTGCGAGAAGGGGATGTTTCGGCACTTAGCAAGAAGCCCCTTATTACATATATGTGGAAAACAAGTTGTGGTAGGTCCAAACCGTCCAAATCGCCGCAAGATCTAGTACTAATGAAAATGGCGTCTCCACACCCCGAAAACTACCCATTGACGTAAGCATTGAAAACTTGGAATAACTTTGCGCCTAGCACCTTACCGCACTGAGATGCAAATCAATGCTATGTGGCTGGAGGCGGCGTCGGTATATATATATATATATATATATATATATATATATATATATATATGATGTCTTAAGTGCGTGAAACGGCGTTCAACTTGACTTCTTGTTGAACACGATTGAACATTGCATCTTTGCTGGCGGCACTGCCAGCGCCAACGCTGGACAGAGTCGCACAGGCAACATGGCTGAGTGATATGTGAGCTTCAAATAACTAACCATTGTTTTATTAGCTGAGACCCACCTCCCATTACTGAAGCACGAGTCAACGGAGTGACGGTGGTGGCGGCGCTACTGGCACGAACGGTGTCGCCTCTTCGCGCAGGGAGGCATGCGGGAGACGTTGTTTTTGCTATTTGCATGCAAGCCTTTCGCCGGGGTCGCGGCGACTCAACCCAAAAGGCTAAAGGAATGAAAACATTGAGAGCTGATTCATTGTTTGGTGGCCATTGCTTGAAAGGGATTGGGGCCTTAAAAGACGCTTAGGGCCTTTTGCGCCAAACGTTTGCATTTGATTTAGAACGGATGAAAATTGAGTATAGAAGCACAATTTGAACACAAATAATGCAGAACAACAACCAAATTGCGCCCCTGCAATGGGTTCGGCTTCCTGAGCTGTAACATTACAACAGGGAACAGAATGACATCTGCCTAGCTCCCGTTCACCCTATGTGAAAAGCGCCATTTTGCACAATGATCACAATGCCGAGATTGGCAGCTGACGAAAATAAAGATGCCTTGGTGATGAAAATAAAATGTCGCAGGCCCCCATTTACAAATTAAAAGGATTTTTAGCCAGTCTCAGCAATTTCTCTGATGCAAGCACAACGGCATAAAAATTGCAAATATCTTGTCTTGACCATCGACAGATAGCTTTCTTCTTGAGGTGGTCTGTTTCTTACCTGAAATTCACATCGTGTGTGAAGGTGTTTGGCCGTCATATTTCGTCTGATATGAGAGTGAACAACATTGTTGGCAATTCGGATATTTGAACAGTAAATCTCCATGTCTGTATATGAATATTGGAATGCCGAAGCAGGCATGAGTAACGGGGTAGTGTCAATGCTGGTCCACTGACACAACTGTTCCACTAGCGCAGGAATACAGCAGCCAAATTCCATAAAATAGATTTGAATGTCAAGCAGCAGACTGCGAAAAACTGTTGTTTTTTTTTTTGTTTGCAAGTCTTGAT